TTAAATAGGTCAACTTCATTGTATAGTTAATATAGTAATAATACAATAATTATTTTTCGTTACTTGTTTTAATACTCTGTTGCACTCAATCGCTCTCATTATTCGGACTGCAGAAATAATGCAGACCTAAACATAATAAAAAATCCAAAAATGTTAAGGCTTAGAATATCAACTGAATAGGTTATTTACTTATATGTTATAGTAAATAATAATATGTTAAATAGTAAATACAGATGGTCGCCTACATAGGCTAGAACTTAAGCATAATAACTATAGAACCCAAATTGTTTGTTAGTTATATCATGGGCCATATGGCTAGTATAGTAAACTATAACCTACACTTTTATTTATTGTACTGCAAGTTAAATGTGTATTACATTTTATTAGTTATTACTTATTAGTTAATTATCTCAAACTCGCCGATCTACTACGCCCACCCGGGATCCACCCACCAGTTGTTTTGGTTGAGGCACAACAGCCTCAAAAAACAGCCTTCGCCACGCCACTGATGATATTATGTATGTACAGAAAACAGGAGTTATTTCGTGGGAAAATCGTACAATACACACATAATAGTTATTACACAACATTATAATTATTTATAATAATATACACCTACTCCGGGATTATTGTACTACGAGTTCGACTCGTTTTAATACTGCAGCAGATTGTCGACCGTATCCTGAAATTTTTTTGGGGGGTGGGGGTCCAAAACTTGTGTATTGTAATTTTATTGAATTTAGATTTTGATATTTGGTTAAATATAAGACTTATTGAAGAAATTTGGTCTGAGTGGGGAGACTATGCTCATAATCGTAAATAATAACAATACTATGTGTAAGTGCGTCTGTGAACGTCAAATATAAATTTGAATATTTCCTACTCCATTGTTTTTCATCGCGGATATTCACTCCTTCACCCCCCCCCCCCACCGACATCTATAACAGGAGTTAAAATAGTGTACCACGACCAGAGTTAAAAAAAAAAAAAAACGTACGTCCCGCAGAAGTGTAACCCGCGGTCTTTATATCCGTCGTTGCACCGTTTTGTTCGTATGATATAATATTATTATAAATATTATAATATACCTGAGCGATGTGTATAAATGCCCGTCAAGTCGCCATAGTTTCGACTACCGTCGTGTAATAATAATTATATGCACATCGCCTGCAGGTGCGCCGGAGTCTTACAATGACAAATGGGAGGTGCCAAGTGACATGGTAATAATATATAGGTACGCGGTGTTCAATTTGCAAGCGGTCTACTGCTATAAAAGGTCTCGGGACGGCGCCGTGCGGGGGGGGGGGGGGCAATAAATTCGCAGAGTATCCGAGATAAAGTGAAATATTAGAAAATATACAAAATAAGACAATATAATATTATCTTGGGACGCTAAGACGTCCGTGCGGTGTACAATTTTAATTGTTCGAGAGGATCTATAATAGGTGTGGCCGGTGTGGGTATTTTAATAAGTTTTTAGTTTCTATAGAATGATTAGAATGCCATAACATAGGAGACTGTTTTCACTTAGGCTACTCTACACATATTTCAGTTCCGAATCGGTAAAGCCAAGGCCTCTGAAATTACCGTTCGCCACGCCACTATAGTCACCTATGTCCTATACAATTGTGATGCAAATAGAGTGGAGACTTACCCTCCACCCACCAAAAAATTTTTTTTATTCATCTCAAACAGTGGCTTACTATACATTTAAATATGTATATGAATTTCTCATGAATTTCCCGAGTACCTACAGGGTCATACCATATTTATAAAAACACATCTGCAGGAGATAGTTTCAACCCGCAGCTTCCCCCGGAAATTTGAACCACTGCCCACTGGTTACTAACTCTACCGGAGTATATCTACTCTATATTAATTTTGATTTCGTGTAATACTATAACACCACATAAATATCTAATCGATTTATACTTCGATGTTTCGTACCAATTCTATCATTATTTTATTTGCAAAGGTCAAGCGCTCATTGAAAATATTATTGACATTAAATATATTATTATTGATATTTATATTATTTTTACATTAAATTTACTATAGATTAAATAAATATAGTTTTTATTATAGTTTTATTACCGATACATGCTCTAGTATAAATTGTAATTAATAGAAAATAAAACTCATCAATATAGCTGCTTGCAGGACGATTGTAATAAATTATAATAAGCAAGCTTATTGCTTAATCGGTTTAAGTGTTATTATTAGGATATACACAAATTGATGATAGACTTTATGATAAAAATAATATTGTTTTATTATTTAATTATAATGATTAATGATATAATGAAGAAATGGGTGAACTTTGCTAGCCTGTAGATTAGGTATATAATAAAAAAAACAAAAAATGTACGCGATTATAAAGCTTTTTGCTTAGGCAATTAAAGAGAAAATCCTTAAAGTAAATTATTTTAATTTGCAGAAAGGTCATTCAAACGAAATGTCAAGAGGTGTTTAAGATTATTTTAATTTCATATAATTTATACTCAATTCAGAGTCAAATCAGAGTCATTTTTTTTTTGCGATGGTTATTAATTTATAATTTATTATACCTACCAGTTATAGTGTTATAACATATCATTTTCCAATTAGAATTTGTTGAAAGAACACATAAACATGCGTATAGCAAAACATTAACCCATAGACAAGTCTAAGTATATAATATTTAATATTTATTAAGACATTTACGTTGTAGATTAAGTAGTATAGTATAGATTAAGCCAAATAAAAAATTATAATGCAGTGCACAATATTATTGTTAATTTTAAGGGAATTTACGTCTGACCTGCAATATTTTTTTTTTAGAAACTGAGATGTTATTAATAACATTTGTTATAATATTTTACTTTCTATAATATTTCGGTTATGCAAGTAAATCATCTTTCATTATTTCACTATTTCATATTCTGATGTAAATAATGAAAACTAAAATTATTCAAAGATGAAAATACACGTATAAGAAATATTTACAAATTGACTCAGTTATTAAATGTTTGTAAAGGCAAGTGTACTCGTTTAAAAGTAAAGTTTGAGGAGTATGTTTTCAGTTTAATATCTCAAATGTTTTTTATTCCCGGTAAAATGTAAAAATAATTTATACGTAGGTACGCTTAAAACAGCTAATTTTCAAACTTAAATCCAATGTTCGTACGATGCCAAACCTAATTGTTATCGTAAAATAAACGGAGCGAATATTATTGAATTTTAATACGATTTTTGATTTTTAAGAATATTTGAGATATAATAATAATAATTAATAATAGTCGGAAAATGTGTTCGACTATACAAACGATTATTACTGTAATAAACATAATATAAATTATTATGTAATCAACTTAAGTCTGTTCTCCCGTAAATTGCAGAAAGATGTTTTCTCGAAATTCGTTAAATAAATACTCGTGTGAGACATTTTCCGAATAAAATATCAATAAGATTTACTGTTTTGTGTCAAAGTCGATTATCGTCACAAAATTCGACTTCGCCGGCCAGAAAAAATAACGATCGCTCGTAAGTCGGCGATATAATAACTTAGACGCGTCAGTGTATTTTTTTTTAACGTCTAGTCAAAAAATCTACACGTCGAGATTTCGAACTCTGGAATAATATTTAAAACAAAATACGAATTTATTTCATATTGATAAAACGCGGAAGTCCTATAAAAATATTTAGATCGTGACTAATCGTCTCGCGGGTATTGCAATCATGTAAAGAAAACGCGGCTAGCAGCTGTGACTATACAATATCGAATGGTATAACTTACTAATATAATACTATACAAGACTGCTGCTATTATAAATTATAATAGATATTACTACAACGACGAAATGTTAAATCTATTTTTCATCACACAGTATTATATATTCTTATATGTTGTACAGTTTAACTGGCTATATCGATTTTCTGAATAAAATATTTTGAAGTACTTGCTATATCGGTATAATATTGTTACAAAAAATAGATTTTTTCTACTTTTTATCGTGCAGCTGGTGGATTATATTTCTAAAACAACGCACCCATAGTTTTTATTTCATATTCGGAAGCAGAATGCATTTTAGATATAATTTAAAAGTGTTAATACTCAATAAAATATAACGGTGGTTGCATTTAGCATTAGCATTATCTTGATCAGTAATGAATTTTATATTTTTATCACATGATAAAGATGATTTAAGAAAGTATGTCCATCTGGATCATCGAGTCATCTTCATTAATTTACCCAATAAATCCACCTTTTTTTTCCTAAAAATAAAATGTCTGAGATAAGAACTACTCGCCTCACTACTTTCTGAGTTATACAAGTATGGAGTAATAATAGTTTATCGTGTTATAATATACGACTATTATCGAACAAACTTCGTTACGTAAATTCATCTGAAACGGTTAAATTATCAGAAATTTTTTTAAAAACAATAATCAATTTATTATCGTAGTGTAAAAAGAAGCTGGCGAAAACCCGTAGTCCGTTCGACGTCGGCTAGGTTTGTCCTCGATTTTCCGACGTTATGACCACTGGCCGCGGTTTCCTAGTATTTCACAGCATCTTCGGCTGGGCCAGATCGGCCGCCGTCTTGTATTCGACATACGTCATGACAGTGCAAACGTGAGTAGGACTAGCGCGCCCTGCTCCTTGCTAACCCACTGGTTAGGTTAACCTAACCTAACTTTTTTTTTTTTTTCCATTAAATCGGCAATACACTCACAACCCGGGAACGCCGTTAAGCAATGCTTCAGGTGGTGAGTCGCAATAATTTATTGATAATCATCATAAAACAGTTTTGGGGTGCGAATGGGACAATCCCCCAGACGCAGCCCCTCACAATGGTATAACAAACATATAATTGTTCGGCACGACAGTAAATACAACTTAACTATCAAAAAATATCATGTTGACGATTGCGACTGCAACGGGACCTTCAGGGCCAACATCGAAGCGCCACTCATCGCCACCGTCTGCGAGTGAACGTCACGTCACCTCCGTCGCCTAGATGGAGATACGCCCTGTTGGAACGGCCTGTCGCGCTCGGCCTCCTCCTTGGCAGACATCACGGCCCTTGCGAATTGGCAACCGCCTCCCAGTTGGCCGGACTCTCCAGCATCTTTACCACCAGTTCACCCGGGTCGAATTGTCCAATCGCGGCCATCAGACGCTCGCGTTCGCCCTTGAACGCTTCGCAGCGAACAAGGGTGTGACGAGCGTCGTCGACCTCCTCACCTTAGCCGTCGGTTGGGCCGCAGTGGGAACACCCGGCAGACGGTGCACGATTGATCCTCCGGATGAACCAGTTGAAGCAACCATGCCCCATCATCAGCTGGGTGAGGCGAAAAGATAATATCAAAGTCCTTATTAAGAACCCACCGGCAGAGCAGGTCCGGGCGTACGATGACACGGGTCCACTCGCGTCCGCTGTGCGCAGGTGGCACCGCAACCCGCACATCCAGAGCCCACCTAGCGAGCACCCGAGTCCTCAGGAATTGTGGGTCGTCTGCTGAATCGCCAGGCCAACCTATCTTAACCTAGGTTTCTGGGTAACCTCTTAACCTTCGCCCCGGTCCTTGCTGCTTTCCGTTATGTTTGGATGTGACGCAGCAGGCCCAACCACAGATGTGTATAATGATATGTCACAACATGTTATCATACCGTCAGCGCTCTATGTGTTAATGTGTCATCACGCAACCACCTCGTGTGGCGCGTTTCCGGTTTCTAGAACTTTTTCGGTCGATTCGGTTCGGCGGTGGCACCGGCCGGTTCCCGCTGCAGTCAGTACTGTAGTTCGGTTTAGAACCGAACGGAAGTAAACGATTATAGTATTTTAAGCTCATCGACCACCCGTTCTTGATTGTAATGATAATAAAAATATTTAAATCTAGTAAATACAGTTATTTCTAAATTAGAGTCAATAATACACTTAATTCTAAATTAGATTCAATACTCAAATAAATTTACCCCTCGCCCTATCCTGCCAAGTGAGGAAATCGATGTTTGGCCAGAATAGTGCACGTTGACACGACAAATATTATTGATGAGTAGTATTTTATTCAACGGATCTTATATGGGTGCAAAATATTTTATATTCCATCTCTTCAATTCAGTAGATTATTATTTTAATATTCAAGACAGTATTGTACCTATACGCAATTTAACTGTACATAAATAATTCAATTGAAATTCAACTTCTTCAGACTAAATACACTTTTTGTGCACTTATGTTTTGGAAATTGCAATAATAAAAACATTGTTACCAAATGTTTAAATGGTTCAATTCTCAACCATGTTAATATTTAAATATTCATCTTTCGGTACTCGCATACTCGATATTTTTTATATTTCTTGAAAACCTCGAATATGTTTATGTTTTACATTATTTAGATTTAACGGGAATTAAATCAAACAGATTTAAACGGAAAATTACCTATATATTAACAGCTATTACTTATTATTTTATTATACAAAACACATTATCCATTATCCATTACCTATGTATTTCAATCGAGCGAAAACTACTTTATTTCTTAAAAAAGAGTGTCTGTAAATTAATTGCAAACACGAGTATGAAGTTTTTTTTTAATATTCCACACTTATACTATATACATGGCTACATAATAATGGACCATTTAAATAGCAACCCTAATGGCTAATTTTCTAAGTAGATTTTTGTGTTTATATAAACCATAGCGTATTCCAAAAACGTAGTGTCATAAAAAATTATGTCTATTACTTTACCTATACCTCTACTTAAGAACCTTCTGACATATTACTATATTAGTTACAATTTAATAGTCCACCTCACGGACCTTTTTATGTGAAATTTTAGTATTTAACATAAAATGCGCCATGCAAATTAGTATAATAATATACAACGATACTCCCATAGTACGAAGTCTCACGGGGAGCAAAAAAATCGTTCTACTACAGAGAATTTCGTTGAATAAGTATAAGAATTAAATAAATTTGGTTCGAAAAAATGTTTCGTTAATCAAAATATTTTGTTAAATGGAAGTTCGTTTCACTGTTGTATATATTATATCAATCATTTTGCTGTTTTTTCGTTTTTTACTTCGTTGACGATGGATCCATCTTTCGTGGATAATCGGCTATACTTCGGCTTGACGTCGCCTTAAGCCCCCTTCTGACTAAGCACTCTGCAGTCTCGCTGTAGTTCCGTTTACCATGAAAATCCGTCATTCGGTTTGGTTTGGACAAAATGGCAAGTACTGGCCACATGGCCACTCTGCGGATCGTATTTCCGCGGTTTCCATTCGTCAGGTGAGGTCCTGCGATATCTATAGCCTATAGGTACTGTAAGAGTCTGCTGCACACAATAGTACTGGTTGGACCTCTCTTTCCCACAACAATATGACTGATAACGTTGTCTCTTTTCAACATAAAGTGCATGTGCACGACTCAGCAGTGCAGTCAACTGTGTTTTTAATTATTTACATTTTATCACCCAAAGGAAGATCGGGTTGCTTGAATAAGTACAATGTGCATGTATATGTGCATCGTACGTCAGTCTAATGATTATATAGTTATTGGTTGTTATTGTTATCTTCTTGACATCGTTCGAAGGTACATAATATTATGAGGCAAGTTTCTATATAGAAGTTTAAAAAAGTTAATCTTTTGCACGGGCTATACCGGGCGGGACAGCTAGTACTATATAAAACTTCGACAATTTGGTCGGCTTTCTATAAACTGGTAAACCTATATTAATGCAGCCATGGTGGATAAGTAGAAAATTATCGACCAAAAGTATATAGACTTCAAAAAGTGATAATGCGGTCGACGAGTTCGGGAATAACAACAATATATCGTTCGTATTCCAATTCGTTCTCCAACACCATCGAAGCAAACACAATTTATTATGTTGACTGCCCTCTTTATGTCAACGCAAGAAACATCCTCAACCAATCTTCATCGATGGTGGAAGCACTAGGAGAACACAACACGCACTTGATCCATAGCTTCTTCAAATCCTTCGGCATCGACACAAAAATTTAATATTAAGACAAAATTACATAACTAGCAATATAATATTATAATGTAAATATATAATTCTGTAAAAACCACTTTGTCAAAAAACTATGTAATCTTAATTTATAATCCAACTATATATCCATTTAAAAATAATGTAACCACAACTACAGGCTAATGACCTAGATGTTGAAGACTTTATTACCAATAAAAAAAAAAAATTATTACGTTCATATAGCAACCTGCAGGTACATACGATGGTACAATTACATTTTGATGTTTGTCTTTTGTCTCAAAAGTAGGTAACCTCTATACGTCTTGTTTTGGGTTGTTTTAAATTTTGTGCGGAGCCATGAATGTACTGATTTTCATCATGCAATGATGTGTGCTTAATTTTTTTTTATGTGTCTGACTTTTGGAGCAATTAACATCTTCAACAGCAATCTTCAAATTTCAGATAGAAAATTGGATCTTTTCGATGGCTGAAGAAGATAAAAGTCCGTGTACTTTTCCTAATAATCGGGGAAAACGAAATAAAAATACTGAAACACGGAAATATTAATTACGCAACACCCCATTTTTTTTTTTTGACATAATAGATTATTTTATTCTATAATAATTATTATTAAGGATTAATCCACAAAACACATCATCAGACATTAGTATAATGATTTTCAGACGGCCACATAATATACATAGCTATACGGTTTATAATGTATTTTACAATGATGACAAACTAAAAAAGTACCTAATGATAAAAAATAAAAATAATAATTTTTATCATAAAAACAAATCAAACTATAGGTATAGGTACATAGTACATAGAAAAACACGAACATTTAAATAGAAAATTACCGTACAACCGAAATTATCACCTTGTTTTGAATATCGGCGATTGACCGTGAGTGTGTACAACACACGGGTTTTCGTGATAGTGTTCGGATAAAAAAATTCGAGTGGTGTATATAAATACCTGTGGAATTTTGAGATACGCCGAACGTTTGGCACTATATACTATGTAGACGCGATAAATAACAATTATCTCGATTTGTATACGAGATATCCTGCAACTGAACGACAGAAGTCGTAAATATAAGGTCTGCACCGGTAAACACGAGTCGCAATAAACACACTCCTAATAATAATAACGATAATTAATACTATTATATACCTATATGCGGTTATGATGCAGTTAGCACGAGATCGTCATTTTATTTTTAGAAATGCATAATAGCCATAATATTATTATTATTGTGTAATAAATAACACTACATTCTGAAACTGTAATAATATTATACTGTTATAGTAAAGGTCACAAATGAGCAGGTCAAGTTATATAATATTATGTCGGAGTTTTTGATTTATTGACAACGTAAATAAATCGAAAACACTGTCATTAAGTAAATTTTTATCATCCACGGTCATTTCAATTGAGTTATCAGAAATATTTGATAATTGTGATACACATGTACATGTTCGATGTACGTTAATATATTAGAGTACCCATAAAAACAGAATATTGCGCCATTAATCGATAATAAACAATAATAAAATTTAATAAAATTTTACGTAGGTCTCAGGAGTAGGTACATAGTATATAGGTAGATATTCGCCACAATACGTTATGAGTTATGACTTATGAGTATGAGAAAAAACTGTACATTTGTTATTTATAATAATATTATAGATGTTATTTTGATTTTTAAATTACATATTATTACTTACACGTAGTATGGTTTTGTACATTTTTAATTTTTCCACGGATTACCCTTAAGTTGAACGAATTCACAGCTCTAGTTTTTCAAAAAAGTTGTTTCTTAACGTCTCTTGTCTTAGAAAACAAAAAAACTGGAGCTGTGAGTTCGTTCATTTTCTAAGACAAAAAGATTATTTTTGATTATCAGTATAGCTAATTTATTGTTATACGTAAAGTTTAAAATGTCAACATTATTACCTAGCTCATTACTAGTTACTACAATAATTACTGTTTTAAAATTAGAAGTTAGAACCATTATGCAAATGCAGAAGAGGTAGGTAGTACAACGAAGTTAATCAAAATCAAATTGTCGAAGAGTTCTATTTTTGAAAACATAAAAAACAGAAATAACGTCCAATATAAATTATAATTAAATTTTTTTATAATACAATACAATATTATATACTACGGTATGCATTATTAAATATTATCTTATTTACTTTCCAAACAAATATCGAGTAAGATATGTGCACTTTAACTTTTTTAAAAACTATTATTGAAGTTACCCACATATAGAACGTTATTGAGAAGTAAAGCCAAATTAAATTGAATAGTGTTGTATGTATTCACAATTACAATTTCTAATTCATGGGTTTAGGTTT